GCAAATAATCTTATTGCTGACTTGATAGCACCCATAGAAATCAGAAAACTGGAGAATAATTTTTTCAGCATTCTGAAAGAAAGTTATTGTCACCTTAGAATTATATACCAAGTGAAATGATCTTTTAAGAACTTAGTAACATAAATACGTTTTTATATGAATAAAATCTAAGATATTTTATCTCCAACAGATTGTTATTAAAGTAAATTATAAGGGTTGAACTGCACAAAGAAGGGAAATTATAGAAGAGGAAAGGTCTGAAGTGAAAGAATAAATAATGGGTAAAGAATAACCCAAATAGTGGATAAATCTAAGTATCTAAGCAAACAAACATCAACGACCAAAAATTAGACAAAGACTTCGAGACTGAATTTCTTAAATAGCCATTTGTTATTAAACAAAAAGAATACAAAAAAGCTTGAAAAGGATGAAAATAGATAATACAGGCAAATACTAACCGATTTAAAGTTTGAGTAGCCTTAGTAACATAAAGAATAATAGAGTTTAAGGGAAAATTTTTTTATTTTCATCACTCTAGGGGGTGGATCCCAAAATATTTTGCTGTGATTTACATCAAAGAATGTTCTGCTTATGTTCTCCTTTAGGAGTTTTACTCTGTCTGACCTTACATTTAGATATTTGATCCATTTTGAGTTTATTTTTGTCTGTCACATTGGAGAATGTTCTAATTTCATTCTTTTACATGCAGCTGTCTACTTTTCCTAGCACCACTTACTGAAGATACAGTCTTTTCCCCACTGTATATTCTTGCTTCTTTTGTCATAGATTAATTGATTATAGGTGTGTGAGTTTATTTCTGGGCTTTCTACCCTGTTCCATTGATCTATATTTCTGATTTTGTGCCAGTACCATACTGTTTCATTTACTGTAGCTTTGAGTATAGTCTGAAGTCAAGGACTCTCCACCAGCTCCATTTTTGTTTCTCAAAATTGCTTTGGCTATTTGGGATCTTTGTGTTTCCATATAGATTGAAAAGGTTTTGTTCTAGTTCTGTGAAAAATGCTGTTGGTAATTTGATAGGGGTTGCATTGAATCTGTAGATTGCCTTGGGTAATATAGTAATTTTGACAATATTGATTCTTCTGTTTCAAGAACATGGTATATCCTTCCATCTGTTTGTATCATCTCCAATTTCTTTCATCAGCATTTTAGGATTTTTAGAGTGGAGGTCTTTTGTCTTAAGTAAGTTTATTCCTGGGTATTTTATTCTTTTTGATATGATGGTAAAAGGGATTGTTTCCTTAATTTATATTTCTGATCTTCTGTTGTTAGTGTTTAGGAATGCAGAAGATTTCTGTGTATTAATTTTGTATCCTGCAACTTTACTTAATTCATTAATGAGCTCTAGTAGTTTTTTGGTAGCATTTTAGATTTTATATGTGTAGTATCATGTCATCTGCAAACAGTGACAGTGTTACTTCTTCTTTTTCAATTTGGATTCCTTTTATTTATTTTTCTTCTCTGATTGTCATGGCTAGGACTTCCAAAACTATGTTGAATAAAAGTGGGGAGAAAAGACATCCTTATTTCATTAAATTTAATACAGAAGAAATAAAAATATTTTTAGAAAAGTATATCTGGTTAAAACTAGCTCAAGAATAACTTGAAAACTTAAATAATGTTAAAGTCACTAAGGAAATCAAGTCAGTAGTTAAACAATTAAAAAAAAACTTTTTTAAATCACAGGGCCCATATAGTTTTGTAGGTGAACTCTTCCAAATAATCTAGGAATTGTTTACCCCAATCTTATATAAACTCCATCAGCAAACAGACAAAAAGAATGTACTGCCCCATCCATTTTCCAGGCTAGTGTAAATTTGTTATCCAAACAAAACTAGGACAGTATGAGAAAGAAAATTACAAGTGAATTTCTTCATGGACAGAAATAATCTTAGTTTTTCTTTTAGGTGAGAAGGATTGGGTTGGATTTAACATAAAAGAATAAAAATTCTTACCAAATATAACACTATATAAAAATGTCAATGCATTTTTTTAGTCAGCAGCAAAGAAAGCCCCTAAAATCAGGATTCCTATAGTGTTTTGCATGAATAGAGATCCTCTACCTGCACAGTAGAATAACCCATGGCCTCCAATTTCTTTTTTAAATGTATTGCATTAATTAATTAATTTTATTTACTTATTATTTTTGCTATGCTGTGCTTAGTCACTCAGTTGTGTCCTGCTCTTTGTGACCCTTTGGACTGTAGCCCACCAGGCTCCTCTGTGCATAGGATTTCCCAGGCAAGAATACTGGAGTGCATTGCCCTTTCCTTCTTCAGGGGATCTTCCCCAGCTAGGGATTGAACCTGTGTCTCCTGTATTGCAGGTAGATTCTTTACCCAGTGAGCTAACAGGGAAGCATCCATTATTTTTAATTAATTAATTATATCAATTGCTTTACAGTGTTGTGTTGGTTTCTTCCATACAACAGTGGGAATCAGCCATAAGTATACATATGCCCCCTCCCTCGTGAACCTCCCTCCCAGCCCCCTCTCCACCCGATTCCTCTGGGTCTTCCCAGTGCACCAGGCCCGAGCGCTTGTCTCATGCATCCAACCTGGGCTGGTGATCTGTTTCACCCTAGATAATATACATGTTTCGAAGCTGTTCTCTTGAAACATCCCACCCTCACCTTCTCCCACAGAGTCCAAAAGTCTGTTCTATACATCTGAGTCTCTTTTTCT